TGTTGGGGTTTTTTTTTCCTGCTTTTTTTTCCCCTCTCTTATATGCTGACTACATCACATGGTGATGTACTATGGGTAGTTGAAATACAGTGCCTAGGGTTGCACCTGTTAACCTTTTGAAATAATGAGATATTTCAAAATTAAGATATTGCACACTTCCTTTTAAGAATTTTTAAGAGATGATACATACGTTTAAATCTGCATTTCCAAGGAGATTGTTTTAGGTAGATTTTGTTGTGGTAAAGGAGGTAAATGTTTTCTTTGAACCAAGTATTGTGTGTTGTGGTTTGGGTTGTTTGATTTTTATTTTTTTTTCTCTTTTAGTGAAACCAACTTAGTTTTCTTTGTTTATATCTGTTGGAAACACACACACGCAAGAGCCCTTCTGAAATGCTGTCCACATGGTTTTGATTATGGAAGTGTTACTTAAACTGCATATTTTCTTTGTTTCTTGTTTTGGGTTGTTTTTTTTTTTTTATAATTCTTTCTTTAATTTCTGATGTTCCTTACAGGAAGTTTATCCAAGCTCTTAAAGGCATTTGCAGCATGAGGGCAGTGATACCATCCCACTGACAACTGTGAGGTCCAGACAATGCTTACTTTTTTTTTTTTTCTACCTCAGCTGGGAGTAATAGGCCTTGGGACTGTGTGTTCGAACTTGCGTGCTTGAGCAAGGTTTCTGCTTCACTGGTATGCTGTTTTGTGCTCTAGAAACTTGAAGGTTCTTTTATGATAATGTAGATTCTCTTCAGTTGTTAACATAATTCTGTCTATTGACAGTTAAATGTTTTGGAAGCTTTTAAAGGGAAGAAACTGGAAAAATGTTGATAAGTGGGAGGAGATCTCTGGCACAAAGGGAACGATAAGAAGCAACTTGGGGTCTGTAGGAAGCACATTATCTAGTATTTAGCAAATGATGTCATTTAAACTTGTGCCTTGTGAAATTAACAGGACTAAGCTATTTTGATCCTGTGGATTTGCAAAGCGTCAGAAACACAAATTGAGTAGTCCTTCAGTACAAATTTTCTAAAACTTTGTGTTTTAAAAGATCCCGTACTTAGCATTGAGGGCTTGGTATTGTATTAAGCCATCTGCAGTGGTTGGTTTATCTGGTCCAGAGTTACTGCTACCCTGGAGATGCTTTTGTGTTGGACACATTTCTCTGAAGCTGCATGTTTGTTGCAAGGAGTCTGTTCAAAAAACCTTTCTCTTTTTATTCCTCAGTGGCTCTTGTTTTGATAGTCAAAGGGATAATTCAAATCCTCTCCTACTGCTACACCTTTCTAAATATTTCTGCTGTTCTAACTGCCTTTAGCGAGCATGTGGCTATGTGGTGACTCAGATCAGCAAGCCGGTTTTTTCTGTGGGATAGTTCTGTGTTTGATCAGCAGGCTGAGCAATTTATCTTGTGGCGCTGACTACTTTATAGCCACCAGTAGGCTGAGGGTGTGGGAAAGCAGAAATGGGCAACAAATTGCTATTTTGATAGCAGCTTGCAGATAGACTGCAATGAAAAACCGTGTGTTTATTTTAATGCTCAGTACAACCCAGTAATGGCTGTGTTGTGGGTAACTTGCAGTGTTTTTGTTGAGCACATTTAATTTAAGCTTGCTAAATTGTAAACTGTCTAGGATTTGGACAGTAACAGAATTCCCATTATTTCAGTTTCAACTACTATCTACTGTATGGGACCCTGTTTGTTTCCTTTTGTCGTGCAGATGTGGGACAGGGAAGGGGAACAAGAGAGAAATTTCCTAGGTTAAAAAAGGAGTGTTTACTGGTTTTAAGTTGATTCCTCTTGTTTTGCTTTTTTCTTCCTGAAAGATAAGGGCTCTTTTTCTACTTAAAACTCCAAACCATGTTTGAAAAGTTTTAACACACAACCCCTTTTAGGAAAGGGCTGTTATCAAATTGTAGATTACGTCTACTGGATGTGACTTTTGTGACGATTTTTGGAAAGTGCTTCTTAAATTCCTGCTGTCTTGAAGATTTTGAATTCAAAATGTTAACTAGCACTAGATAAGATTTCTGTGTTCTGCGTTGCATGATTTTGTTTCTCTATTACTAGCCACTGATTGGCGTACTACTTCCCAAAACTGGAAGATCAAATCGATATTTGTTTTTTGAGAACATTCATCTTTTGAAAAATAACAGTGACCTTTTTTTTTAGAAAAGATTTGACTTTTACTATTTTGAACTTTGTTGTTGTTGTTGTTTTTAATTTTGTTTTGTTTTATCTTTAAGGTTTTTATTTAAATCATCCCTTTCCTGTCAACTACCCATTGTGATTTCAGGGCATTACATTCTGGGTTTTTTTGTGTTTTGGTTCTTTTTTTTTTAGCTTACATTTGTTTAGTCTGCCTTCTACCCTCAGCTGGCATGTGATGAAGCTGTAACCAATTGCAGCATGCTTTTCAATATAAGCTTCTAGTATCCAGACAGTAGGATTACATAGTAGAAAAACATTTTTGTTTTAATTTTTTTGTAGGCATGCACAAACCTGTGACTGTTTCTCTGTGGGCAGCCAGCCATAAGAAGTCTGTATTACAAAGTGGGCACCTGAATCTTACCTACCATTTCCTTCTTCCAGACTTACCTACTTCCCCTGATCATTTTGTCAAGGCCAAGTAACATGTTAATTGTTTTTTAATTACAGTTGCTGTCATACCACAAGTAACGTTAGGGCTTCCTCTTATGTCCTGTCCACTTGTCCCCAGCTGTGCATTTCTGCTCTTTCTTGGTTTTGGATCTGACACACTTGTTAGGTTGGTGGGTGGGTGGATTGACTTGCTGTATGTCCATATGGCCATTAGAATGGATGTAAGCAAATGGTAAGAGTGAAGAATGGGGAAAGCTAGCTGCCTGCCTGAAAACACTCTGGTTGGGTGGTGGGATGGCCTGTTCTGGGCCAGCAGCCAAACAAAGGTGTCCTGAACTAGGACCAGCCCATTTCTATGGGGTGAAGTTTTCCTTTCTTCCAAGAGGCTGAAGGGTGACATGCTGCTTTTAAGTATTACTTCAAGAGTCACTTGTGAATGTTGGCAGTGTTTTTTAATAGCAATTAATTCTAGTTAGCTGTTTCTTGCAGACAAATAAGGGTAGGGAGCAAGCTATAAGGGAGTGAGTGCTGTCAAGGAAAACTGTCATGCAGAGTTGGTTGTGGGAGAGTTTTTCCAGGGACTTGACCCTAATCCTTGTGTATGTTTCTAGAGGAGGGTGTTGTGCCCCTGATACCTTCTTTGTGCTGACACTGGTCCTCCTCCACTGTAGGGGAAAAAAAAGGTTGAAAACAAGATCAAGGTGTTTAGTTTTTGCTGTAAGAATGACTGTCTATTTGCTAGGAGGCCTGTGGCTCTGAGTGATAGTGATTTCTGTGTGATCTGCTTTGCAGTTTTCAAATCTGTCCAGACTCCAGGGATCCCTACTTGATGGGATGGACTTGTACCGTACCTGCAAAACCAAGTGCTGTCTTGAATTCATGACTCTGATATATAAAACCTTATTCCATCTATCATAAAATCATAGAATCATTTAGGTTGGAAAAGACCTTTGAGATTGAGTCCAACTGTTAACTTAGCAGTGCCAAGTCCACCATTAAGCCATATCTGTAAGTGCCACATCTCCACATCTTCTGAATACCTCCGGGGTGGTAACTCTACCACTTCCCTGGGCAGCCTGTTCTGATGCCTGATCACTGTCTCTGTGAAGAATATTTTCCTAATATTCAGTTTAAACCTTCCCTGGTGCAGCTTGAGGCTGCTGCCTCTTATCCTATCTTCCCTCTCTTACACCATGTGTAGGCTTTTAATTATCGAGTTCGATCATCTGCGTAATCCTATGTGTCAGCATGGTTTATAATGTGATGCCTTGAATAATTCTGCAGTTTTATCACTTGATGCTTATTCTTTATCACAGTCTTGCCTCAAGTCTGTCTTCACCCTTTCTCTCCTTCTTTGCATTTATTCTGCTGCTTTCTTCTCTTACTTCCTGTTCATGGAAGCTTTTGCCTCTGTACAAAGCTATGTGCATTGCTACTGACTGCTTTAAATGCAGTACTTCTGGTTTCCCCCCCTCCCCATGCTTTATCTACCTTTTGTTCCTCTTGGTCAAAGTTGCATTCTTGAGACTCTCTCTTCCTATTGCTGCTAAAGTCTTTGTTTGCTGTAATGTTTGTAATTTTTTGTAAATAGCAAAGTGAAAGTTTTTAAGTTGAGAATTGATATCATTAGATATATGCTGCAATAAAATATTCTTTCAATCTGACTACTAGGCATGTTAGAAAAATACAGTATGAAGTATACACATTGATTTGCAAATTTTAAGCTTCAGCAAGTACTTCCTTTCCAATTACTTAATCAAATTTGCATCAAGTAAATATAATTGTATACTGGCCTGTTAAGCCTTCAGAATTTAATTTCACGTTAGTCCACACAGGGCTATAGGATTAAACATTCATGTTAGTGAGTTGTGACATTATCATCAATTTTTGTGTATTTATTGGTGTTTGGAATTGTTCTCTGTATGTCTGTGTTTCTGACCTAGCCTGATGTCCACTTCCTAGGAATTTTTTTTTTTACACTATGGTTGATTGATCCTTGTCCTTTCCTTGGAGGTGTTGGTTATCAAATTGATCAGAAGGATCAACTCTTTCCTCTGTTCTTTCGGCTTGCTCTTAGTTTTGCATAATTTAGTCCAGGAAAAAGCATCTGTTTTTTTTAAATTTTTTTTAATTTTTTTTTTTTAAGTAGATTACTTTTTCTGATTATCCATATGAATTTTTATGCTATGGAGTAAGGCAAAAAAATTTTGTCTCCCGTGTAGCTTGAAAAAGTTGTACTCTTACTGTTTGAAATGCATAGTGCAACGTGCATTAATCTGAAATGTCTTTTGTTTAACCTACATAAAATACTAAGGCTTTTATAGACAACTGTCAGATATAAATGTAGGTGTTGCTTTTACAACCAAAAATATTTTCTGTGACAGTTTTAACTTGCAAGCTCTCTTCATTCTGACTGTATTTTTGAATGGAATTCTCTAGCATATTTTCTTTATGTGGTGGTATGTTATTTCTCCTTATAGACGCCTTCACCTCAATAAGAAAACCACAGACAAACAGCCATATAGCAAGCTTCCTGGTGTTTCACTTCTAAAGCCATTAAAAGGTGTGGATCCTAACCTGATCAGCAATTTAGAAACCTTCTTTGAACTGGATTATCCAAAAGTATGTATACAACTTAGTGTCTTTTGGTTTTTTCCTCCCATGTCTCCAAAAGTCTTATCAGTATCTTGGGCTAGAACTATGCAACTTGATTATGTCTTGGGTGGTTCTTCCTTCCACAACAGGTGCATAATTGCCCATTTTACATGTTGCAAACAAAACTTATTACATGAAGAGCTGTCCATAAGGAAATATGACCAAGGCTTGGGGACGAAACATACTCTACACTTTATCAAGACTTATTTTATCATTATTTCCATATTGTGGTGTTTATAGCACATGAAACCCTTGAATTATGAAAGATCATTTGAGAGGCCAGACACCCTTCCCAAATACTTCTCTGTAACAGAGCCTCTAAAGAGAACACTTAACTGATAGCTTCAAACTTTCTAGTAGTTCTCACTGATGGCTCATCTAACAAAACATTGGTCAGCGATGAGGTAGTGAACCTCACCAGTTGTTGGTAGGAAAAATAGTCTCCAAGGCACTTACTGGTGTTGGGAAACAAATGGTTAATAAAAGCTTACATTTGTTGTTGTACTCCGAGCTTCTAATATAAGTGATAAGTAATATAAGTAAGTGTGTCAGGTGCTGTCGTTGCTCCAAGGATCTTACAACTTAAAGGATAAATCTCCAAATGCTTGCTGCATTGTTCATGAATTGGTGTATGCTCCTGTAAATGGAAAAAGGACTACATTTTGTACTGCATATCTCCTGAATTCTAAAACTTGTAATTTAATAAAACTTTAATTCTTCTCAAAACTGTCAGCTGTAGAAGGTCAAAGGTATGTGTAAGCTGTAACAGCAAGTTTCCTTTGTGTGTTCTGAGAGCTTTAAACTTGCTCTGAAGTAGGAAGGGTAAAACAAACTCCAGCATTTGTAACTTACTAGAAGTTGTGTATTTTTTTCTGTAATGATATTTAGAGCATTTTGAAAAGCTTTGGGCATAAATATTTGATTCTTTTCACTCAAAAATGCAATGAAGATTAAGTGTGGCACAATGTAAGTTTAAAGCATGCTTGAGGCATACCATATACGTGAACACTGCAAAAAGGGCAAAGAAGCTGCAACAGTATCTTAAACTATTTTATGACTATAATGAGTCTCAAGATGTTAAGCAACTGAAATGTTTGACTACCAATACAATTTGAGAATTGTTAGATCTTGCTTTATAAGAAATAGTCTTAACCTTTACTCTTGATAACTTACATGTCTGGGTGGCAGTTGTAAAATATTACTGCTACTCATAAATCTGAATTTCAGGTAACAATAGAGAGAATCCTATTTTTCCCAGAGAGAGTGAAAATGGAAGTGTGAATGCTGGGGCACAACTTATACAAGCAACATTCTCAAACTTATTTGAAAGCACTTCTGTGCAATAACCGCAAAAATAGTTCATTTAAGAAACTGACATTACACCAGAAAAATCAGAACAACAGTATTACCTGGTATTCAAAGTTCAGCTGTTTGGAGGAAAATTATTCGGAAAGAATAATCTTAAATTTGTTCCAGGGAAGCTAAGTTCAACCTGCAGTGATATGGATTCTCTCCTGTGATGCCCCATGTGTGAAATAATCTTGTCTTCCATAGAAGCCAGTTACACAGCTTCTAATTTGCAGGACTTAGCCATAATATTTTTATCAGCGAACATTTTTTACCTATTGTACATACTGTAATTTTGGCAGAAATTTTTCTGTTGTGTTATGCCATATGAACCTGTTTATGTAGATAAACATCTTTGTATTTCTTCTGCTTTAGTCATACATTTTGTAGCTCTTTACTTTGCTACTGCATGCGAAGGCCATTTACTGTGAAATATTGTTTCCAGATATTGGAATGTCAAAGTTGTTTTATTCTGGTAAATTTCTTGGGGAATACAGATATAGAAATGTCATTGCAACTGTGGACTGAAGATTATTAACATGCTAGCAAAAATAGTTTTTACATATTTAATAGGATGAGCAATAAAGAACTAATTTCTTCAGCTGGTAATTTCTGTGGTGTTTATGCAATCAGGATTGTTCTGTTGTGGTTGGAAGAACCTGTCTGCTTAAGGAGATAGGTCTTTACCTTTTAAATGCAATTTTCCATGCTGGTAAAATGATAGGAATTAAATACTGCTTGCTCTTTAGGCAAATTGGCTTTGAGTTTGCATTCTAAGAGGTAGAGATGTGTGTGTCTGATCGTTTGTAGTGCTAGACCAAGACTTAGCAACTCCCATGCAGTTGTTAATATTTTTAAGTTTCTACAATATTTTGAATGCAGTTAGTGGTTGGGCATTTTTTTTGTGCTTAACAACGCATTTTTTTTCTTGCAAGAATGTATTTGTTTAATGTCTTGTCTTCTCTTATATTAAATACCTCTTACTGAACTAGAACTTAAGAAGCTGTCATCGAGTCCACAGGCAGCTTTTGAGGTTCAGATTACTTTTTGCCTAAGTATTTTACTGAAAATAAAATTGAAGTAAGGAAGAGTAAGAACTGTTTTGATCGCTATTTGGGACTCTTATTTACACCTGCTCTATCAATGAGGTCCAAAAATATTGTTTTTAACTTGATTGATTTTTATTTATTTTTTAAATCTTGGAATATAAAAATAGCTTCTAAATATCTTTTTCAGAAGTTTGCATTTTCTGAATTTTACTCTTTGGATTGAAGCTCTAAAAACTTGTAATAGTTCAGTCATTTTAATAGGGAGAGAAGAAGGTTATATCAAGTCAGGAGTATTCAAGGAATTTGCTATTAATGCAGAAACAGAAACATCTCCATCAAAGCTTGCAAAGCTGTGTCACAACGATGAGTTATCCTTAAAATGCTATTATCTCACCCACTGTCTGTAGCGTATGTGTAACAAGCATGTAGATTGATTGCTGAAACAGCTAGTTATCCCGTACCTCTTGTTGACTTTTTTTAACCATTATTCTATTAATGGAAAACAGATATACATAGCATATTCATGTTCCTGAGCTTAGCTTTATTGTACAATTAAGTGTACTAATACTGTCCTTTGTGGGTTGTCTTCCAACTCCGTTTTGCATATGCATCTGCAGAGTATAGGGAAGGAAGGTGTAGTTCAGAGAGTTATGTGATTAAGTGTATCATAATGTCATATGTTTACTATATTGCAGGCTGTAATTTCACGGAATATGATTGATTTAAGGTTCATATATGAACAAAAATTGAAGTGGAAATAAAATACTTACCTTGTATACAAACATGTCGTGCTTCATGCCTGATAGAAACCCTTCCAGTAACAGGAAAACCGATGCTCCTTAGTACAAGATTTACTGGGATACAGGCTTTGTTCTTTTTCCAGTAGTTGGCTAAATAAGTATGAAAGTCTTATTTAGCCATAAAACAACCTCTCTGATTCTAGTTTTAATTCTGTAACGCTGCTCTATACTTTTTCAGTTTGGTACACTGTTCAACTTTATTCCCTAGACCATATTGATATCAAATATATGTGTGTAAACATGTGTGTATACATTTTTGTTTTTACTAGTATGAAGTACTACTCTGTGTGCAAGATCATGATGATCCAGCTATTGATGTGTGCAAAAAGCTCCTTGGCAAATACCCAAATGTTGATGCTAGGCTGTTCATAGGTAAGCAGAGCAACTCAAAGGTGTGACTGTTACTTGTAAAATGTTTTTAGGTTTTCAACTCCATATGCAGTATTCTAAAATAAATAGTAATTTTATTCAGCCCATGTTGGTTCTGTAGTTTAATCATCCTTTCAGAGTGAAGAAGTAAGTTTATAGTCACAATTTGTGATGTCAGGCCAAAAGCTCTGGGAGGAGTGACTTGTGCAACCCCTGTAACTTTTTCCTTCTAAGTCTGAAACAGCAGTTTAAATCCTGTCTTTGCACTGAAATAAATATGCAGAAAGTGGCTTGGAGTTGAGGCTGAGTTTGAGCTTGAGACCCTGCAACAGTCCTTTTTGATCAGTTTAGACTGTAGGGCTCTTTATTCACTTTAAGTTAGAGGAGGCAAGGGATATTAGAGCTAGGTAGTAGTATCAGTCTTTTTCTCTGACGTGAAGCAAAATGGATCATGTCTGTCAGTTGGAAGCAGAAGACTGTATTTCACTTTTTTCTGCTCCTTTTCCATGTTTATGCTAAAGTTACTGTGGAGTTTAATGGTCATAATCAATAGTCTTAAGAAATAAGAGGCAGAGAATATTTACAGAATGTAGTAATAAGCTTTATAGTTCTACTGGCCTTTTAATTACATTAACCTTGTTACCCTGCCATTTTGAGAAATCATTTGAATATTTTCATTCCTTTTTAAGTCTCTGTGTAATTGTAGAAAGATCTGAAATATAGATGTGAAGAAATACTTTATATCTTTTTCGTAAAAGTGTACTTTAAGAATTTATTCACTGTTCTTCACTTACTGCATTTAAATATTCTGGGTATTGATTCTGAAATCTAAAAGCCACGCATGTATTATTTGTGTATGATGTTTGTATTTTTTTAGGTGGCAAGAAAGTTGGCATCAATCCCAAGATTAACAACTTAATGCCTGGCTATGAAGTTGCCAAATATGATCTCGTATGGATTTGTGATAGTGGAATCAGAGGTATGTGTGTATTGTAATGTGCTGACTGTTGTATTGCTGTTATTCCCTGTAGGCAGGCAGTTGTTGGAGATAGTTTTGATTGAGAATATAAGCAGAAATGAAAATGAAAAATGTGGAAAAAATAATGACAGAATGGCTTAACGAACTGTCTGCTTTTCATTTGTCACTTAGTAACGCCAGACACGCTGACCGATATGGCCAGTCAAATGACTGAAAAAGTAGGCCTGGTCCATGGGCTTCCGTATGTTGCAGATAGACAGGGTTTTGCTGCTACCCTTGAACAGGTAAGTGCTGTGTTGGTATTTTATTTTACTTTATTTTATTTTATTTTATTATTTATTTATTTTATAATGACTAAAAGTTCTATAGTGCCTCTTACACATTTTGAGTGAAATATTTATTTTCACCCGCAGTCACACTTCAGGCTATCCAGAACAACTTCTAAATGCTCCAAAATTTTACTGTGCTGTTCTGAACATTCTTTCAATATTTAGGTTTATAATACAAACAATAAACATTACAGGATGAAAACTATGGATTTTATTTAAAAATTTATTAAAACTAAGGAATCCTTTGTAGGGCTTAAGTCGGAAAGGCACTTGGCAGGGGATTGGAGCAAGATGATCTTGAGGTCCTTTCCAGTCCAAACCATTCTATGATTCTATGATTTAATTCTATTTTGATGTCTGAAAAGAAACACAGAAATGGCCATGACAAGTCAGAGCGAAGTCCAGCTCACACAGCATCTATTTCCAGCACTGGTTAGGCAGAGCCTTTAAGGGCAGTAGAACACAAGCACAACTTACATCCTGTTTTCCTGTAATACTGTCTCAACTTTCTGCAATTTTCAGCTGAGCAGTTTCCTGAGCAGGAAGTAAACTTGTGTATTTGCTAATCCTTAATATATATTTACTAAGAACATATTTCTTATGTGAACTTTTTCATTCTTTTCTTTGAGTCCACATAGATTGTGAACATCTATTGCTGTCTTTACCAGGAAGTTCTGTAGATCTGCTGTCTGTTATGGAAACCACCACTTTGTTCAGTCTGACCCTTGTTTTTCTGTAATGTTATTTCATGTTCTACATTGTTTTTGAAGGGAAAGTGAACAGTTGGTTTCTATCCACCATCTTCATATCATTAATTCTGTTCTGTTCTCCCCTCTGTTCTTTCAGGAAATTCCCTTGTAGAATAGAAAGGGTAGTTTTCTTGTTTGTTTCTTGTGTCTCAAGACATGTAAATTAATAACTGTTTTTCATTCTAAGCTGGCATGTATAAGGCATTCTATCCCCAAGGCTAGCTAATGTGTGTCAAAGGCAGAAATATGAAGCCTGAACGTGCAGTGAGATTCAGTACAGTACTTCTTCATTGCATGACAGGGCAGCTCATGTGATTTTTTTTTTATTTTAATTTTTTTATTTTTATTTTTTTGCAAAGTGGGGTCTGAATTTCCTCTTGCAAGAGAAGAGCAAGGAGATATAGCACAAATCTTTTTGTGCTACTACATAAATACATACAAAGCTTTAAAAGCCCTACCTGTTTTTTTTTTGCAGGTTTATTTTGGAACTTCACATCCAAGGTCATATATTTCAGCCAACTTAACTGGCTTTAAGTGTGTAACAGGAATGTCATGCTTGATGAGAAAGGATGTCTTGGACCAAGCTGGAGGACTCATAGCTTTTGCACAATATATTGCTGAGGATTACTTTATGGCTAAAGCTATAGCTGACAGGTAAGATGACTCCGAATTAAGCTTCTTACTTTAGGTACATTTCAAGCCTTGTGGGTTGGTTTGTTTTTTGTTGTTCTTTGTTGTTTTTTTTAAACACATGGTACATACTATAAGTATAGGTGTTCAGGTCAGCCTGACGTCTGTACACCAAGCATGCTTATGATGTGCTTTGTTCTGTAGTCTTTAGTCTTTCAGAAATAATTAAGCCATATCATTGTCAATTCCTTTAGAAGTAAGTTTATAAAATACTGTAATGGTATTTGCTCTTTTTCACTGAAAAGACTTGATGTTAAACAAGTTTTTCTTTGCTTATGCCTACTGTAATAATATGGCACATATGCCAAAGGAAATTTCCAAGACTAATAAAATTCTTGTGTATGTTATCTAATTCTTTTTTTTCATCTCTTCATGTTATTTATAATAATAAATACATTTTTCAGGGGCTGGAAATTTGCAATGGCCACACAAGTTGCAATGCAAAACTCTGGTTCATATTCTATTTCTCAGTTTCAGTCCAGAATGATCAGGTAAAAATTTTACTCTTTACTTCCTCTCCTACCCTGTCACCTGCTTCTCATTTGAGTAACTTATAATGAGAAGGAATACATCTTCCAAGCTAATTTGATTTTATGTACAGAATGATAAAGTTCCAACGCATAGCTTGATGCATGCTTCTTGTTGATGTTGAGAGAGAAGCACTGACTTTCCACACAAGTATGACTAAGTATTGAAAGCTCCCTAAACTCCTCGCCACCCCTCAAAAAAACCCCAAACCAACAACCACCTTAATACCTTTTAAATACTGTGTACAGTATCTTTGAAAGGGAGAAAATTTGCAGGTTTTTGTTTTTTGGAGATGTAAATTAAATGAGTAACACTGTCAAGAAAACACTGTGATGGCTTATTTGTTGAGGTGGGGGATGAAGACATAAAGAATAATGCATAGTCAGAACTGATTTGTTTGTCTTTTCTAGGTGGGCCAAACTGCGCATTAATATGTTGCCTGCCACAATAATCTGTGAGCCAATCTCAGAGTGCTTTGTTGCCAGTCTAGTTATTGGATGGGCAGCTCATCATGTATTTAGATGGGATATAATGGTTTTTTTCATGTGTCACTGCCTGGCATGGTTTATAGTTGACTACATTCAACTAAAAGGTGTTCAGGTATGTACCTTCATTTTCTTTGGAGATTGTGACAGTTTCTAGTGCCATTTACTTCAGCAAAAAGCTAAGCCTAATTCTCTTGACATCAAGGTCAAATCCTGTTACTTCTCAGTCTTCCAGCTTAGTTATAGTAGCATGAATAGAAATAGGTGTGCTTGGTTGTAATTTTGTTTTCTTATATACATCTGCCTCTGATTATGCTCTGGAAGCTTGCATATCTGTCCCCTTCATCTTCACATTTCCAGTCTGCTTTACCTAGACACATCCAGAAATTTTAAGCTTTTTTTTTTTTTTTTTTTAACAACACAAGTACAGCAGCTTTGTGGAATTTTGTGGGTTGACCTAAGTTGCACTTTGTCTTGTATTTATTGAGGTGAATATGTACTTTTAACTACATTTTTCACTCTTATTTATGGTGGACTTACAGGACAGCTGTAGCCTACATCTAAAAATAAAATCTTTCCATCACTAGAAGTAAGAGGTCTAGATAGTCAAGTGAGGCCTAAAAAAACCTTTTAACATCGAAAGATGTCACAAATCAGAACGGTGTTTGTTCTTCTAATGTTGGAACTATTTAAACTACATTCTGCTGTGACCATATTCCATCTAAATCTGATCCATAATTGTGTATTCAAACTTAAATAGTCCTTATCATAGTGAAAAATATTTGTTTGTAGTCTTGTAGTCTTACAGTCTTAGCACATACTGGAAATAAGGAGAAAAAAAAAGGCCTTGTGTTGGTTCTGTAGGACTCTGGAAGGTCAGTTTAACAGTCACCTTTCTGATTATTCTTCTCATATTCACAGCATTTAAAAGAGCTTTGTGCTTACTGTGCCTCTTCTGAAGCCTTTCTGTTTTCCAGCTCTGCATGTAGCTCAAAAAAAAAGGAACAGAAAACATAAAGAGGCTATAAGTTTGTGGTTTTTTTCATCCTACTTTTCCTATGCAATAGGCCAAAAGCTTAGTTATTTGAATTTCAGTCCTCTGGGAATGTGCAGGAGTGTTCTGTCAAGATGCTTCTGGGGACTGTGGCAAACCCCTGGTGTATGCTTGAGCACAGGTTTACAAAGCCTCAAAAAGAAGTGGGGCTTTGCCTTTTGCTCTACATACATGTCTCTTCAAACTTCTGGATCATTCTGGCCCTCAGGTTTAATATGGGCAACCAAATCATAAACAGTAAAATGGTGTTATTGATATGTAAATCTATATAATAAGCTTTAGAATACATTTATCTGTAACAATGTTTTAAACTACTTTAAAACTCCTTTTGAATAATCAGTATGTTTAAATACTTTTTCATTTCTAGGGTGGTGCACTGTGTTTCTCAAAACTTGATTATGCAGTAGCTTGGTTCATCAGAGAATCTATGACAATTTATATTTTCCTATCTGCTTTGTGGGACCCCACTATTAGCTGGAGGACAGGACGCTACAGATTACGTTGTGGAGGCACTGCAGAAGAAATTCTTGATGTATAGCCACAGCTTTGTAACTTTGAACGTCAAAAAGAGAAGGGGGAAAGAAAAGTATTATAAATCATTTATATAAATACTTTTAAGAAAATCTACCTTCAGTAGTTTTGTTACTTGTATGTTTTGGTATCTGTTCTTTAATTTATTTTTGCATGGCACTTGCATCTGTGAAAATACATTTGTAGTCTTGGCCAAATGGTACTTTGCTCCTATGTACAAATAGAAATGGAGAGAATTGGTCCTGACATCTATTTCCTGTAGGAATGCTCTGCAGTAAACAATTTTATTTTGGTTTTTGGTTTGGTTGGTTGGCTTGTTTTTTTTTTTTTTTTTTTTTTTGGGAGGGGGGTGTTTATTGGGTTTTTTTTGTTTTTTTTTTTCTTTTTTTTTTTTTAAGTAAAGTATCCTTTGGATATGAGTAGCTTCTTATTCCATGGTGTGCTAGCTTGGCAAATCCAGGGTTCACAAAGCTGTTTTCCAGCTGGGTTGTACAAAGCTGTACCTAGTAAAGTCACAGAAGTACAGCCAATTTCTTTTTTTATCCCACTAAATTGAGCTAGTAACAGGACCTTGGGAAAGAAGCTCTTAAATGCTTTATGCCTACCTCTTGTAGTTGCTGCAGAACAAAATGAATTGAAAGGTAAAAATGCTTTGCAAAAACAAACTAAAGCTGGAGTCTTGTGTTTATATGTATACATAAAATACTTTAGTCATTGCAATGAACCAAAAGTGGACTGAGTTTGGTAAACGAGGAATGGAATGAATACCGGTCATGTATGTGTTGTGGGCATCTTTTGGCCAACTCTGATCTGGTTCTGTCTTGAACCTTGTTAAGCACTGTGCTGTAATTAGCCAAGCTGGTCCCCTTCAATATTTCCATCCTTTTTAAAGGGATGTTTGTTTTTCCCTGTGAATGAATGCTTTAATGGGGGGGGGGGTGTGTGCGTGTGTGTGTGAGGCATAGTATGGGGTAGAAGGGAACAGAAACACATTTCACAAACATTTTACACATGAACTATTTTCTTATGTGATGTCTTAAGAATGTAATTTCATGATAGGTATGTAATATCTTTTTAAAGTGAAGATACATACATATACTAGTCATAATTAAGTATTCATCTGAAGTAGATATTGTGAATATGTTAAAAGGTCCGGGTGAGTTTGCTGTTACTGATTAAAATGGTAATCTAATTTAAATATCAAACTGAGTCTGCTCTTGGCTTTTTGCCTTCTACTGTTTGTCTAGCCTTTAAATTGGACTTTTGTATTCCAGTGGTATGACTAAAAGGACTAGATAGTAATGCATGCTGTGTTTCCCCCTGCCCCGCTCTCTGTAACTTGGTTTCCAACCTCATTGTAAGACTTCCTAATTTGTGGTGAACTGGACTTGTTTTTTTTAAAGACTGTTTAATTAAAAAAAAAAAAAAAAAAAAGGAAAAAACAACAAAGCAACGAAAACCACAGCAAAGCTAGAGAGGGGTGTTGCATAAGCCTTTTGTTTTCATAATTGTATTTATGCTGCTTTACTCTTCATGTGAAAGCATATTGTCACCATAAATGTGAGCTGCTAATTACCAGGCTAATGCTAACAAAGCAGCTTTAAAAGTTGGATGATAATGTGTAGCATATTAGCAATAATGACATGTATTTATAAAAATGGATATTTTTACCTTACTGAGCCAATATCTTATCTGTCATGCTACACAACTGTAACATGTATATGTGTGACGTAAAACATACTCTGGGCAAAAATGCTTTATCCACCTTAATATCTCTTTTTGCCTTATGATGCCATGGAACTCTTTTAATAGGCATTTCTGTATGAACAAAGGCTTTTGATGCATGCTTCATTCTTTTCATATGAATCAGGAAGAAGCACTTTTCCTGAGGAAAGTTGCACACTGAAAGCTAGTCTAGTTGTGACCCACAAAAACCAAAATACTCTGGTTTTATATTGTTTTTTCCATAATTGAATTTTGCTGGTAATGTTTGGCAATGTTTGGGGTTTGGTGGTTGTTTTTTTTATTGGTTTGTTTGTTTGTTTTTTGTGGGTTTTTTTGTGTTGGGTTTTTTTAATTATTTTTTTCTTGAAGTTTTATGCCATTCATTGCACTGCTAAAGTGAAGCTTAGCTTGCAACTTAGCTTTATGCTGATTTCTATGCAGGCAATGAACAGAACCAAAAAAAAAGGCTGAACAGACTTCATTTTAAAAACATTTGGTGGGGATAACTGTTTTAACAGGTGCTTTTGTATTAGTAGAGCCATCTTTGGTCATGAAAACTAAAGCTTCACTTAAGCAAATAGTTTTGTTTTGGTATTGTTTGGTTGATTATGGATGGAAACAAACACTGTCTAATGTAGAAGATGCTGCAACAGAACTTTTAAAAGTTAAAAATTGCTAATGTAAAGTTGTGTGGATCTAGAGATGTGCAGAATATGCCATGTTTATTTAAAATCATTGTCTTTTTTTTTCTTTATTTAAAAATAAATTTGGAATACGATTTGTTTGGAATACATGGATGTTTTTCTTTGTTGAATGATGCTGTAACATGACAGCTTTATTTATGGTACTTTTGATAGATTTGAGTTCTAATCTTCAGAGCAATAAATGGATGTGCCTTTCTTCTGAGGCTTTTTACACCTGGACCCTCTGGTTTGGGTTTTATATTTTGCTGAAATTAACTCACATGTGCTTAAATCTCTTTTGGAGTTATCCTTAGTTTTTTAGAATAACTTTAGCATATAAACCGTTCACAGTTGAACAGATAGTTCTCTAACTAGTCATCCTAAAATCAGATTTTAGAGATGGGTATCGTCACAAAACGTGGGAAATTTAGGAGTAGTGTTGATACTTTGCTTTGAGGTACTCTACCAAGAAAGCACTTGATGCTTGCTCTGTCATTTGACTTGGCTTTTTCTAATCTTTTCATTGCGATTTTTCACACGAAACATTAAAGACTGCATGTATGACAGTTGTTGGGAGGCATGGCAGAAAACAACCGCGCTGGAATCACTTGAAAACTAGTTACAGAAACTTAAATGTATGTATTTTGTGCTCGATACATTTGTAGCCACACAGCACAATACCTAAATCCCCTTACTGAGTTGTTTTATTATTTTCCTGCTTACTGTTAAACAATGTCTTGATTTTATTTGGTGCTTTCAAATGAAATAGTTCTCACTTGAATTCCTTTCAATACCACTCTTCTGCCTTCTGTGATACTAACTGCTGACTACCTGCATTTCCTCTGTTTTGTTCATCTCCTAACCACCTGCTTTCATGTATCACGTCTGAAAGCTGTTTCATCCATCTGAAGGGGTTCTTTTAATCCTCAAGCCTAATTTCTGTTTTAGGGTGGGTCTGAGCTTCAGCCATTCTTGGGTTGAACTTTCTTGGTTCCCCAGCAGCTGTCACACTAATTCTGGTTATTTAGGCTAAGGAAACCTAAAGTTTTGTATGGCAATAGATATACAAATTTAGTTAAACAAAGTGACTTAAGCTTAAATACTTCCTAGGCTTGTCTAAATAGCACTTGGAAGAGAGGATGGCAGCACGCTGAACAGCAGTAATTTCAAACTTAATCCAGTTTTTGAGTCTGAGAATGTATAAACTGTTCTAACTAATTGCCAGATTATAATGTGTGGGTCTACTACTTGGATGTTCAGAGTGAATGCACAAGTTCAAATAGAGGTGTTTTCTTAGCTCTTCAAATAAACTAAATTCTGTAACAAAACTGCCCCATAACAGTAAGTGCTACGTATCTGGGCAGATGAGAAGTTCCCCCAGGAAAGTTATATCCATCTTCATGTTGACTTTGGGGAAGGCATGTATGATTTGGTACCTTAGTGTAGAACTGCACTGTAATAGGTGATCTGGGATGCGCTTTTAACAAAGAATAAAAAAATCCAGACAAAGAAAACCCTACAGAACCAAACCCCACTGGCTTTGTGTATCCTGTCAGACTGCTTTAAAGCTTGTTACCTTTCCTAGATTGAACAAACTTCCATTGCTAGCTATCAGACAATTGATAATAAGTGATAATTCTTAGGGCTGAATTCCTCACATTCTGCCCTCACTGCTTACTTGTCTGGTCCTCAGAGTTTGAACTTTTCAGTAGGATAGTAAAGTTTAATGAAGTGCTTTGGGTCGGTTTAGCCACTACCGTGTTTGTGTTAAAGAACATGACACCGTTTCATGTAGAAAGTTGATACTGACTATGTTGCAGATCTTTGCTGAGAATGTTTTTGGCTTTTTTTTTTTGCTAGCGGTTTCTTCTGACAGATGGCTGTATTTTCAAGTCGTAAATCCTACATTCAGATCAATGCCCAATTCTCCCTTCAGAAACGTCTTGTCCAACTGCAAGACAACCAGCCAGTCTTGTGGATCCTAAGGATCTGTCTATGTTCACCTTGTCCAGTGTGTTTCCTTTTCAAAAGCACTTCTAGGTTAGTGTCTTGTAAATATTATTCTATGCTGAAGCCTTGCAGTCTGTACATGGAAGGGTGTCTAATTGGCCTTTTCAGTGAAAGATGTTTATCGTCATATTTTGCTTAGGTTAAAGTTACTAATCAGCTTATTCTTATAAAATACGAGTCTTAAAAAACAACAACAAAAAGACCACCAAAAACCCCACAAACAAAAAGCCCCCACAGCTTTTGGAATGCTTTATTTCTTAAATTTTCATCTGATCAAGAGTCAGCTGCTACTTACGTTTTGTTTGTGCTTCCGGGGAAATATGCTTCTGCTACTTAATCAGCCATAACTGTTTATACCTAAATGTTGTCATGACCATAAATGATTAGTTAAGAGGTGCAAACCAGTTAGCTCACAATGGAAGTTTCTCGATTGCTGCTGTGTCTCATTCCTCCACACATCTCCCCAGCGCTTTCTCTGTTACTGACAGGAAGGAAGGGACTCAGCCAAACCCATGTGCCAGCTGGAGTTAATGGCCATTTTATATGCGGCCAGCTTGTGGGTGAATGGGAGAGGTCAGGCTCGTTTGCCTGTGCAGGAAGACAGTAAGCTCACTGGGAGCATGAAACAAGAGCTGTCAAAAGAAATTCTTTACTGGGCTTTGACATGAAGTGAGTTATTGTTCCTGACTTGGGCTTTGCATCCTCTGGGCCTGTGTTAAACTTAGATCTGCTCACAGAGTTGAAGCTCTGTTAGTCTCCCCCCTGCTCTTACTGTATGGTGAGTAGCTTTTCCTCTTTTAAGGCTTGCCTTTTGCCTGGAAGAGTGTATTTTTACACGTTCAACAGTCACATATTCCTGGTGGTAATGGCT